TTTAGCAAATACCAAGTTCTATAATCATATATTAGTTACTAAGTTTCAAAGCTTTATTCTGTAGGGCTCTTACAATAATAAGAACTAATAGTGCCTTAGAAATCTCATCCAACTAACCTATCTATAAATAGGAAGACAGTTTTAGATAGCATAAAAAATTTGAGTTTTTAATTGTTAATACCAGAACCTAATTTATAACCCAGTTTCCAAATTATTTATTCACAAATTTTAAGTTTTTGAGTATGATTTTGTCAAGAACTAATTCAGAGCCTTATAGATTGAATATACTTCTGTTCATTAAAATAAATCAGGAGTATTGTGTGAATGTATTACTTATCTAGAAAGGTTAAGTTTAAATTTTTTAAAATCCAAAACTTGTAATGACTTTTGAAGGGCGTTGTCACATTGTCATTGTGGGAATATGCCCTTTGTTCTTGCAGGTAGTAGGTAATTTTTTATTTTTCACAAAATAATTGTATGGAAAACTAAGTCTCATATTAAAAAGAAAAAAAAAATCAAAGCATGGGGCCAGTCCATGACGGAAGTCACATGAACTGGATTGCACATGGTTGACTGTGTAGTCTGAGTCCCAGACCCAGTGGCTTGAGAAACAAACCAGGTGCGTATGCGTGTGTACCTGAAATTCCAAAAGGGGAGAAATTTAGAAAAAGGGATTTCAGCATGACCATTCCACATGGGAGTTGCTTTCTTGCATTCTCTCTGTCTGTCGGACAAGCACATGCCTCTCTGGCAAATTAAAAAAAAAAAGTCATGGTATCAGGTGTATAAATGATTTCAGCTGCTTTAATTATTTTAGGAGACAGCATTAAGAAGGGGGGACTGCTGTGGCTTTTATGTTTCTCTGTATCTTCAGGAAATAAAATCACTGATACAATAGATTAAAAATTTATTAACGTATTTTCATATATCCAGAAATTAGTATCTCAGTGGAGCTTTATTGTCCTATTAATATCATTTGCTGAAAGTTGTACTTTGTGATTTATTCATGTGACAGACTTGTACTTTTTAAAAATTATTCTATGTAAAAAAATACACTTTTGAGTATCTACTCAGTGAATAGTTACCAGTAGTTAAGGAGCTTGTGGTTACTGGAGACCACAGAGCAATGCGTGTCTTAGAAGATTTTGTTAAAGCAGGTTTGCTGAGAATGGGTTGCAGAAGAGATAATAGGGACAGAGTAATTAGTTAAAAGTCTATTGCAGTATCCAGGGGAAGAAGATGAAGGTGTTAAAAACAGAATTGAGAAGAGTAGGTGACCTTTGATACAGATAGAAATATTCTGGCTATTTGAGTCAGAAGGTGCCATAGTTAAGGAGAGATGCCCAGGATAACTTTCAATTTTATCACAGGTTTATTGGGTGAACGATAATAACTTTCTATACCCTCACTGTTCATGGCAAATAAATTATATACTTATGATTGATGAACTAATTTGCCATGTGTGATTGAGCTAAGTTTACAGTCCCTTCTCCAGAGGAGGTCACATTGATAATACTTTGCTCAAGACCCTAACCCTCTAATCACATGGTATTTCTGTCAGAGCCATTCTGATATTGAGTCATTTTGATGCAGAGTGCAGGGTGATCAGACCCAACACCTGAGATGGTTCTTGTCTTTATTCATGAAGAGTTAGAGACGCAGACAGAGAGAGGGAATACCAAAGCTAAGTTTATTAAGAGATGAAAGGAAGAACAGAGTTCCTAAGCTGGGAGGGGTTCCAAATGGGTTGCCAAAGAGGAGCTGGAAGCAAGGGGTTTTTATCTAGTGGTTTGAGTAATGGGACAAGGGTGTTGGGTGCAATGGGCTGGCTTTCTGATAAGGAAGTGGGCTTTAGAAAATATTAGGTTGTAGGGAATGATTAACAATTAGGTCGTCAGGAAAGTTATTGAGTATTTTTCTGTTTTTCTATGCAATAATGTATTATGACTTATGACTTTCTGAATAACTCAATAGTTACATGGTAGTCTGATTGATTTATTACCCTATTCTTTCAGCAGACCATAGAGTTCTGTATTTCTTGCTAGAATATAGTTACTAAATAACAGTAGAAACTGTTATCCTTAGCTAAGGTTGCTTTGAGTCCCAATTCTGCCAGCTTTTGGCTATAAAAACTGAGCAATCGTGACTCCAACTTGGCCTTATCCTGCCTGAGTACTCAAGATCCCTATCTCTTGCCTTATTAACAAGGAGTCTTACATTCTTCAGAGACATATTAAAGGGGTGTGTATTGTTCATTAACCAGAGCATAGAGGAAAAACAGAGACTTCATTAAAAAGAAAACACAGTGACTTTCTTTCAGGGCCATTATCCAGTCTACCTGTAAGTGGGTCTAACTCCTGTCTCACTCTCGTTGGCCTAAACTGAGGTATGGTATGAGAGGCTTATGAATAATGAAGTTGCTTCTACATTTTACTTGGGAAATTCCAAGGATTTGAGGCTTCCTTCCAGAAACCATGGTCCAAAGCCATCCAAATTCTTTACTATACCATATCTCCCAAACTCATTTTCCTCTTCTGGCATTTACCTGCACATTTCCAGATTCTTTGTCTAATCTGCCACTTTTTTAATCCCTTTATTATTTTTTAAAAATTTACATTTAATAATTGTACATTTTTATAGCACATGAGTGGGTTTTTCAAAGTGTAAATGTATCTCATCAAGCAAGTCATTGATACCACCATACACAGTAACATTCCATTCTTCTTTTTTTTTGGGGGGGAGAGGTTTTTGTGATAGGGCACGTGCGCTCGCCAGAAAGACAGAGAGAGACAGAGAGACAGAAAGCGAGAAATCACCCCCCCAGGGAGGATGGCCACACTGCAGTCCCTTCTCCTCCATTCTCCTCTTGGGATCTTGGGCACACATGCACCCGCACCTGGCGTGAGTTTAAGCTGCCGGATCTGGGACTCGAACCATGGTCGACTACTTGGGAGTCCAGTTACATAGCCATTATGCCAACTGCTGGTCCATTCCATTCTTGAATCTGTTAATATTCTTTTTTTTTTTTTTTCCCTGATAGTCAATTTTAGAGATTAATTATCAATCTCCCATTTAGGAAATTAAAAAAAAAAATCATACCTTCTCCTTTTTTACCTCCTTCCCCTCCTTCCCAAACACATAAATGCTTGTTGCTCCCTTATTACAACTTGGTTAAACTAGTTGTCAGATCCTACATTGTTAGAACTCTGTAAATCTTGTTTCTTTAGACTTTTGTTGAAGGTTTCAAGAAATCTTACTCTTGGATTGATTCTTTTTCATGGCATCCCATTCTACTAAGGTTAAACATGCTCTTTCTCTGTAGAAGTTTTTGTTGTTGTTACTTGTGATATTGTTTGCTAGTATTGTCATAGAAACAGAAACCACTGACTTGGTGGTAGAGGCTTAAATAATAGAAATGTATTTCTTTACAGTTCTGAAGGTCAGAAGTCCAAGGTCAGGATACTACCAGGTTGGCTTCTGAATTCCCTGTCTTTGGCTTGTCAGTGACTTTCTTCTCATTTCCTCACATTTCCTATTTCCTCATAGGGTCCTTCCCCTGGGGATATTTGTTTTGTAATCTCTTTTTTTAAGGACAGCGGTCAGGTTGAATTTAGGGACCACTCTGATAGCCTCATTTAATCTTGATTACCTCTTTAAAGGCCTATCTGCAAATATATTCACATTCTGACGTGCCCTAAGTATCTCAGAAGGATAGCATATGTTCATATGAGAACATAGGAAATTTGAGGTAAGAGGAAATGACAAAATTGAGTCCATGTAACACCTGCATTGTTGATTTTGGATCTTCGTCTTGCCTTTCCTCTTTCTGTCTATCTGTTTATGATTTTTGATGATCTTGGGCTCTTTGTTTGCTGCTGAGGTTTAGATGGAATCTCTGACTTTAGCCTGCCCCAGAACCTCTTCACCCCTACTGTGCCTAGATTTCTGAGTCTTGGTCCTTTTGTTTGAATTCTTCAGAGACTGAACTTCTAATCTGCCTGACTATGTAGGATGAAGATAGGAGCCCAGGGTGCCCAACTTCTCAGTTTATGAAGATGCAGATGGCCAGCAAGTTCTTACTGATTTGGTTTCAGCCTCACCCTATCTTTTGGGACATCTGAAGCTCTAAGAACTTGAGAAACTCTACAGGTTTTTTGTTTTTGTTTTTACTTTACTTAAGGTGTGTGTGTTCACCAAAGAGAGAGGGAGAAAGAGAAAGAAGGAAAGTGAGAAAGCATTCCCACTCTCTCCCCCCATGGGTCTTTGTCACACTTCGATCTCTTCTCCATTTCTCCCTCTTTGCGATTTTGGGCACATATACACATGTGGGGGCGTGTTTTTTAAGCTATCAGGTTGAGACTTGAACCATGTAGTTGTCATGTAGGATCCAGCCACCTTAACTACCAGGCCATGGACGACTCTGCAGGGTTTATTAGTAAGGTTTTATTATTTAATGGTTGCCTATATTATGCACGGTACTGCGCTTTCCAAGGATTATCCCATGAAATGTTTACATAAACCACATGAAACGGGGTTCTATTATTAGCTCTATTTTACATACAATTAAACAGGTTTACAACAAAATTAGTAAACTGGAGCACTGTTACTTGTATACAGATCTATTTTACCTCAAACTATTTTTATCAACTCTACTCCAAACAGTTCGTAAATTTATGCCTCACCCTGTATATCTATGTTCTGGATTTTATAAAAATGTCCATCTATTTATTTGAACATGTTAAAAAAGCTGTTGTTATATTGCATACAATATAAGAATAAAGGGAAATCGAGTACATCTATGGGAATATGAATGTGTTTTTTTTTTTTTTATGAGTATAGTTAATCAGGCTGTCTTCCTTAAACAACTTTGAAAGTAGACCAGTAGAACTGTTCCTAGTATATATTTGTTCCAGATGTAAGCTTGGAAATTACAGTGACATTAGGTTCCATCTGCCATTATATTGAAAATTCTTAGAACCTAGAGTGTCCTTAGTAAACTTAACATTCATTTGATGTTGGTTGACAGGCTAAATGTCAGCCAAAAATTTTAAACTGTATGTTTAAGAACACTCTTTATATTTTGGTATGAATGGCCTGCATTCTTTTATTTTTAGTCAAATGCTTATCTCATTTGGTACTAATCGCTTTCTTTCTCTCCCTCTTTAACAGATTACTTCTGAAACTAGACCACCAATTTACAGAACACAATGGCTCGATCACGACAACCCCCCCTTGTGACAGGCATCTCTCCAAATGAGGGAATACCATGGACAAAGGTCACAATTAGAGGGGAAAACCTGGGAACCGGCTCCACTGACCTCATAGGTAAGGGCAAGGACTGTGTGGTTCGGCATGGTGTGCGTGTTGGGCAGTTGAAGCAAGACACATTGTTTTGAGATAGTGAAGGTAATAAAAAAACTTTGTGATCTCTGTAGAATGGTCAAAATAAAAATAAAATAGTTATTTGTTTTTCTGATTTTTCTTAGAGACTATTTGATCAAATCTTGTTATGTTGTCTTTCAACAAGAACTTCTGAAAATTTCCCATGGTTGGTCTGCCTCCATATCCCCAGCTTTGACCTCTCCAGCTTAGATTGCCAAAACAGCTGCTTCCATATTTTTGCCCTTTGGTTTTTTTCCTCTGTTTTATCATTGTTCTCTTGTTTTTCAAGTATTCTGAATTCTGCCTCTTCTGTTCCAGACTGCTTTTCAAAGCAAATCTCCATCTCATTTCCCAGCAATGTGGGTACCCTCGGCTCTTATCTTCATCCACCTCTGAGGCATATATCCTTGCTGAGACCTGTGGATCCCATTTAGAGATATCAGTTAATGTTTTTTTCTCTTTCCTAGCCAAGTTTAAGTTCAAGGATATGAATGATAGAACACCTTGCATAGCACCCCGTTGGTGTAGTGTAAATATTTTTAGACGTTGGTTAGCATGCTGTGTTTCCCTCTCCGTGACATTGAGATTTTTTTATTCGTTAAAGAATCTGCTGGCTTATTTGTTAAGCATTCATATCTGCCTGTGGTTCTTAATCACCTCTAGAGCTTTAAATCAAATTATCTGGCCTTACTACTCAGTCTCTAAAGATAGACTCTGAACGTGGTTTTTAAAAAATATAAATGGGTATCTAAGGTAGAGAGCAAATATTAAGTATAATTTTATAATCATTGCAGTTATATTTATCTGTGAACTCCAAATGAGGGTATACAAATGCATTCAGAATGAGGAAAGTCAAGTCCCTCGTATTTGCTACCGAATATATGTATTTTGACTCCCCTCATAAATTTATTCTAGACTCACCTTCTTGGCTCATTTTTTAACTGGTGAGGGACCCATTTGTAAAACACTTATGTATTATACATGCAGGCTGATAGATTGGTTTTTGGTTACTAAAATTGGAAGTGAACTGAAACCCAGTACTATTCAGTAACAGAGTTTTACACTTTCAGCTCATTCCTTTTCCTAGTGTTACCTAAATACCTCTGATTTTATATTTTTTCTCTAATGTAGTTTTTAATTCCTAGTAGGTATCACTTCCTATTTCTTGCATTATAGTCTTTGCAAGAATATTAGTAGCTATCTAATCCCGTATCATTTTTTCTGACATAGCTCATCCCAGGTGTTTCTTTATCCAAGTAGAAAATCCTCAGAATGCATGGATTTATAATGTAACATATGGAGCTTATGTCCACAGTGTTAACTAGCAGTCACTGTGAATCCCAAACATGACAGTTACTAATCTATGTACATTTTAATCTGGCCTTAGCTTCAGGCAATGCTAGTCTTATTAGACTAAGTGTGTATTAACTTTTATAAATCTCGCTAGATCAGCTTTCAACCTGCCTCATGTATTGCCAAGAAACCATTTCATAAAAAAGCAAACTTAGCCTGTTAAATAATTTAAGCGTTTTTAACTCAGATGATAATCTATATTAGCCAAGCAAAACACTATAAAAAGTACTTTACTTGGAATTCTCCAAGTTACCATTTTTAGAAAAAGATGCTATTATATTTCATGAAGCAAATTTCTGAGCTTTCAATAACTTAGCAAAAATGTGCTTAAGAAATCAAGAAGTGAGTCTTACCATCTTATTTTCTTCCCGTGGCATTTAGAGTAATCTGTTTGAATCTATGTTTAAATTATTTGCTGATTATTCATTTTTGGAATAAAAATGTAGATTGGGGTTAAATCAGAGGAACTTCAAAGGCAGCTACAACAGGATGAATAAATGCTTGTTCTGGGGTAGTTTTGTGTCAACTTGTGCCTTCTGGATATCATTTCTGTTTGCTCACGTGAGTGTATTGTCTAGACTGTATGCCTGTATATCTCAAATCCTCTCTCATTCTTTAGTTTTAGTTATAGGAAAGTTCTCTGCCTGAAAACTTATATTAGGAATGACTTTTTTCTTTTAACGAAGATACTGTTAGTATTTTGACATAATACCTTTATGTGTATTGTTGAATTATTCTCCTTTCTGAGCTGAGTTAATGTTTAAATCAGGAATTTTTATAAAATGCTATAAAATTTAAAAAGACTCGTTGCATATTGATCTGCAGTCGTAACAAAATACCTGCCACCTGTAATTAAGCAGTTTACAAATGAAAATATTCCTCATTCTTTTTTCTTTTTTTTTTTTTTGTGCACATACACCAGTTACTTTATGTACAATGAAGGAATGGGGAAGGGAAAATGAAAGAATAGAGAAAAGTACACTGTAGTAGTCAGGATGTGGTGAAACCAAATTGTGGTTTTCTCATTGACAATGTATTCGTGGTCTGTAAGAACAGAGCTCTGGAGTAAAGTAGCAGGTGCCCTTCTTAGTAGACACCTCCTGTCTGCTGTTGGAACACATCCATTGTATCTTCATCCTCCATTTCCAACTGTGCAGGTGTGTCTGTTTTGTTGATGGGCTGTCCATCAAATCGGAATCTGATCTGCCTCATTGACAAACCCTGTCGTTCACAATAGGCTTTCATTAGTTTACTAAGTGGTGTGTGCCTCTTAATCTTAAACTGCACCACAGAACCATCCTGCCCCACCGCCTTCTAATTAATATGATCGTTGTTCTTAGTCTTGACTCCTTCCTTGGGCTTTTCGTCGGTCATGGCGAGCGCCACAGTCTCCTAGCTGCCGCTTCACAAAAGAGGCACCAGGCCCTCACCTAAGGAGCACACAGGCAGCAGGAGGAGCAGCAGAAGAAGGAGGCGGCAGCGGTGGAGGAGGGAAAGGGCGGTGGAGGAGGGAAAGGGCGCATGCACATCGAGCGCTCCCTCCCCTCCCCCATTTTAAAAAAATACATAGACTGATTTAAGTATGTGTGAGATTACTTTGGCAAATACATATTTAAGTGTTAGAAATAGTTTTCTTGGCAGGTGGGGCTCAGTAGAGGTTTTAATTCTCATAAGTTGTTTAAATTTTTTTTTTTTTTTTTTTTAGATTTTTACTGTAGGGCACATGCGCTCACTGGAGAGACAGAGAGAGAGAGACAGAAAGCAAGAAATTCCTCCACACCGCAATCCCTTCTCGGAACTCCGTTCTCCTCTTGGGGTTTTAGGCGTGTATGCACACGCACCTGGCATGGTTTTAAGCTACTGAGTCTGGGACTTGAACTGCGGTCAACTATATGGGAGTCCAGCAACATTAACTATTATGCCATCTTATTTAAATGCCAAGTTATTTAATTTTTTTATAACAAAAATCAGCTATCAGGGAGGATATCAAAGATATTCCCATTTAAAAAAGATATTTTTTAAATTATGATTACATTTAAAGATGTCATTATATATTAAAGATATATTAACAACAAAGGAGCAGAAAAGGAAATTTAAAATGCTGTTACTAAAAAAGCAGAATTCCATATATGAACAAATAAGAGATGTTTTAGAAAAAAAAAAAAACCCGAAATTCATTTTTTCAAGCAGTATGTTTTAAAATGTCATGCAGTTTTCGTCTGGCTTTCCAGCATAGCAGTGAAGCATTGCTTAGGCAAAGCCTGAACCCATGTGGCAACAGGTTCGAATCCCTGGTCTCGACAGCCTGAAGCATGCCGGGTGCATGTGTAAGTGCCTAAACCGCAACGGGCTAGAAAAGTGGAAGAAGGGAATCATGGCCTGACCAAACCCCTTCACTCCTGCCACCATGTTCACATCTACCTTTGTTATGAATAAAGAAAAACATGGAGCACTTTTATTTCTTTCCGGTTAGTATAACATTTTTACGAAATAGTCCTTTAAGCTGTAATGAAGGTGACTTGAATCTCTCCTTCCATTTTAAAGCCAGATTTTGCATTTGTCGAGGTATTCCCAGTATCTAAAAGACAAAAACAAAACAACAAGGAAATTGCCAACATGACTGCCGAGCAGTACACACAGTTGAACAATGAAAAATGAAAGTGAGCCGTTTCTGGGCCTGTGCCACCTACATTCTAGTTTATTTTCTCCGTAAATGTTTATTACATGTTCTCTGTTTTGCAGAAATAGAAAACACAAAGGTAGTGAGGTTGGAAGCTGACTTGCGTGGGTGGATCTTGTAGTTCCACTCAGGGGATACGCCTTACTCTGTACCATGTTTAAGTGGTTCCCTGTTTTGTCATTGGAGAAATTTTAATTAACGTGCCAGTGGGGGTGGTGATGATCTGCATTGACGTGTTAAGAGGACCGGTGTGTTATCTGAGCACATTGTAATGTAGGGACAGTTTTATTAGGAAAACACAGCGGTCATGTGAACTGATATCATCATAGGAACTGATACGCAGCATAAAAAATGAGATAGTAATCCATTAATATCCTCATATATTTCACTGGATCTGCTATGCTCTAACCTATACTTCAGATAAATAAAGTATCGACTTTAGTTCAGTTTGAAATACCATGAGTAAATGAACAATGGAAAGCACATGCATGAGGGACCAGCAGTTGGCGTAATGGCTATGTCGCTGGACTCCCATGTAGTCGACCGTGGTTCGCGTCCTGGACCCAGTGGCTTAAACTCATGCCAGGCACATGTGCATGCATGCCCAAGATCCCGAGAGGAGAATGGAGGAGAAGGGATTGCAGTGTGACCATCCCCCCTGGGGGGTGATTTCTCGCTTTCTGTCTCTTTCTGTCTGTCTGGTGAGCGCACGTGCTTTGTAGTAGAAAACCTCTCAAAAAAAATAAAAAAAGAAAGAAAGAAAGAAAGAAAATAATGCACGAGAAATGGAAAGATTTGAAGGTATAAAAACATAGAGAGCAACTGCAGATACTAGAGACAATGTGGGAAGAGGTGGGAAGTGGGGTAGGGTGAGAGGGCGGGAACCAGTGGGAAAAAGAAAGAAACAGAACACTTAAGGGACACAAAAATGGAATATTATCTATTGATAATAATGCGTATAGTAATATCTTTGATTGGACCAATATATAACGTATTCATGATGGGAAAATTCATCTAGTATGCTATAATGATACACAGTGATTGAATGTAAAAAAATAATAAAATACGGGCAGATCATTTTCAGGAAGATGTATTAGAATATAGAATGTTTTGGGAACAGCAGTTTGCATAATGGCTATGTCGCTGGACTCCCATGTAGTCGACCGCGGTTCGCGTCCCGAACCCGGTGGCTTAAAACTCACGCCGGGTGTGTGTGCGTGCCCAAGATCCCAGAGGAGAATGGAGGAGAAGGGATTGCGGCGTGGCCATCCCCCCCTGGGGGGTGATTTCTCGCTTTCTGCCTCTCTGTCTATATAGAATGTTTTTAGGAAATGTTACATAAATTTAGTAATATCCTTTATAGTTTTTATCAGTAACTTAGACTTTTTTTTTTTTTTTTGCACAATATTAATGTTTATTCCACTTTGTGTTATATTCCTGGATCCTTCACCAATGTTACATGAGGGATAAAACAAAGCAAAACAAATGAAAAATTGAAATCAGACTCACCAATGTTGTCAAGCTGGGAAACAAATTAAAATCTACCAGCCATCAGCAAGAGTACAGCAAAGGTGATGCTGTAAAAAGAAAACAAAGAAATTGCTAGAAAACTGTATAATACATCATAGTCTTTCAAATCAGCAGAATATGGTCCTATGTACAATGGAACCTAATTTTTTTTTTCCTGCAAGGTATAGAAATGCGGGAACCAGTAGTTAGCTTAATGGCTATGTCACTGGACTCCCACGTGGTCGACCGTGGTTTGTGTCCCGGACCCAGTGGCTTAAAACTCACACCGGGCGCGTGTGCGTGCGTGCCCAAGATCCCGAGAGGAGAATAGAGGAGAAGGGATTGCGGCGTGACCATCCCCCCTGGGGGGTGATTTCTCGCTTTCTGTCTCTATGTCTCTCTCTGTCTGTCTGGCGAGCGCACGCACCCTACAGTGAAAATCTCTCCAAAATAAAATAAAATAAAATAAAATAAAAGGTATAGAAATGCAAGGTCTTTTTTTGAATACTGAGAATGTATAAAATATGTTGGTAATGGTAATTCTACTAGGCTAGGACAGAGTAGGCCAGGAGCACATTTATGGATTCTGGGGATGAAGTGCACTCTAATTCTTTGGGAAAATGGGCACTAGCCAAAATTAAAAAAAAATAAAAAGCAAAAGGAAGAAAAGAAAAAAGAACACAGAAGTATAAGACAAAGGCGAATGAGACTTCTCTTAATCTTAGCAACATTTAGATGGAAATCACATTTAAATGCAGTCCGCTCTGCTTTTGAAGAGGCTTTGTTTGGTTCAATTCTCAAATCTCAATTGCTTCACACAGTCTTCTGTGAGACCACTGAGGTGTCTTCTTAAACAACAAACCTACTTTTAGTGGTGGAGCCATACTTGGTAGCTTTGTCTGCATGGGACTGATAACCAATCACTGTCTTTGGAGGAAGTCCTAACCTTTCCTTCTCTACCCTCCCTGTATGTGCCACAGCCTCTCTGTTTTCACATTCAGTAGTCCCCATTGCTATCTCATTGCCTTTTGCTCTAATATGAACAACAGCCCCACACACGCCATCACTGTGATCATCGAGAGTCTCCAGTGAGACACAGCAGTGCCTCTGGCCCAAAGGAGTCGAGGTCACTTCTCTGCTGGTCGTTCAGTGTGATTAGCCATCGTCCCTGTTTGTTTTCCTTGTCCTCCTACATAGTCTCGAGTTCATCCTTAAAAAGTGAGTAGTCACAGCAGGCATTAAGTTATTAGACAGGTAGATATGGTTGTCCAGAGCCCAGAAGTCTTCCACGGTATCAAACTTACAGGTCAGTGGAAGGTTTACTTCCAAGTTTTGCTTTTATCATTTAAAAAAAAAAACCAGAGCGCCCATGTGTTCAGTAGAGGATGCTTAATATAATGTTCTGAGTTAGCAACCTCCTGATTAGATTCTGTTTTCTCCTCTTCTGTAGTGGGGGGACTAGGGGTAGGGATGGTTTCCGGTTCCACAGTTGCCATCTTAGATCGATCTCAGTAACTTAGACTTCTAATAGTAGCAATAATTTTCCTTCTAATACCTCTGAAAGCAATTTAAGATTCTCATAGTCCAAGTAATTTGAAGTGCCCAGACGTAATTATTATGGTCAGTTATTCTCTAAGTTACTGATGTTTGAAGAAACTTAAGTATAAACTAAAGGAAGTCTTAACATTACAGAAAAAACCGAATTTAAAAATAATCAATAGAGACAGCAATATATTTTCAAATAATATTCTGTATATATAATAAAAAATAACTATTGGACAAAGAAATGCTATTTCAAGATTTTTTTTTTCATGTACTAGACATGTTTAGGGTCTTACTGTTGTTTTGAACTTGATGTGTGTGCTTTAATTTTCAGGTTTGACAATTTGTGGACATAATTGCCTCCTAACGGCAGAATGGATGTCTGCGAGCAAAATTGTATGTCGAGTGGGACAAGCCAAAAATGACAAAGGAGATATTATTGTCACAACCAAGTCAGGTGGCAAAGGAACCTCAACCGTCTCTTTCAAGCTACTTAAACCAGAAAAAATAGGTAAACATCTTTCATGAGTTTATTCCAAAGGAAAAAAAAATAAAAATGAGTTTATCTTGTATACTTTAAGACTGGTAGATTAGTATAAAATTTACTTACTTTCATATTTCATTAACTTAGATTCAGTTTATATTTGACAGGAATTGGATGTTTAAATTATCCTGTTTTTGAAAAGGCAGTTTGCTGAGCTAGTGTGTAAAACCTGAGGATGACAATCACAAGAGAACTATCATCCTTTCTTAAGAAAATCTATTCACTTATTTATTTATTTTTAAATTTTAATTTTGCCTGAGGGTGCATGTACTCATCTGAGAGAGACAGAGAGAGAGAGAGAGAGAGAGAGAGAGAGAGAGACTATGAGAAAGTACTCCCCGATAGGACATGGTTGCACTGCAGTTCCTTTTCCTCCATTTTTCCTTCTTTCAGGATTTTAAGCACACATGCACACATCCCCAGTGTGTGTGTGTGTGTGTGTGTGTGTGTGTATGTGTGTGTGTTTTCTTTTTCTGGAGAGGTTTTTGTTATAGGGCGCGTGCGCTCGCCACAGACACAGAGAGAGACAGAGACAGAAAGTGAGCAATCACTCCCCCTGGGGGATGGCCACACCGCAATCCCTTCTCCTCCATTTTCCTCTCAGGATCTTGGGCATGCACACACATGTACCCGGGGTGAGTTAAAGCCACCGGATTCACGTCTTGAACCGTGGTTGACTACAAGGGAGTTCAGTGACATAGCTATCATGCTAACTGCTGGTCCCCCCCCCCAGTGTGTTGTTTTCAAGCCACTGGGTCCACAAGGTTGGCCATTTAGGATCCAGCCATATTAACCAACATGGCAGGCTGGCCCTCGTTTAACATTTTGATATACTTGTTTTGGTTATGAGTATAATGATATTGCTTTCCAACTGTCACATTAAGATTTGAGGTGAAGTAACCTTCTAATTTGGCCAAATTAATAATAATATCTAAATAATGTTCCCCTTTTCTTCATTTTCTCTACCCTTCAGGGCCTGGTTGGAATATTGCTGGTTTGGATCTACTTTTAGTCTTACAAACTACTAATACTTGCTCTTTTTTTGTGTCTCATAGCACTTTATGTATTTCTTTTTTTATGCGCTTATTATGGGCTTCCTTATTCCTAGGGTATAAAAACTTGTTCTGAGGAGCCAGACTATGTGAATTTTTACCTGAATTCTTACCATGACTAGCCAAGTGACTTGAATGACTACTTTTCTGGTGGATAACAGTGAGATAATAATAATATTATCAATGTCATGGGATTAGATGAGTCAGAACACAACTGTAAAGTGCTTGGCATAGTTCCTTACACAATAAATCAAGTTTTAAATTATTCTTCTCATAGCTAGTTCTGTGCATGCCATCTCCCCTACTAAAATAAAAAGTAATATCAGATTTATTATTGTGGTTCTGTAATGTCTTGCACATGGTCAGTATTTGACAAATATTTGTGTAACGTAGAAAAATTATAGGCATAATCAAACCCAGCAGTAATTCTCTGTATCTAGAAAAGCAAATATTTTTGCAAATAGTCTATGTTTTCTATTTTAGAGCATAGGGCCTTTCTGGAGTGTTATCTTCTACAGTGTATGTCTAGATTTTTAAAAATAAATAAACCTTTCAAAAATTTTAAGATAAAATTCAAAGTAGGCTAGATACAATTATATATATATATATATATATGTAAAAGCCTCTCTATATATGTATATTTATAAGTAAAACAGTCCTATTTTCAGTGTTATTTTTATTTTCTCTTTCTTTTTTCTTTTTTCATTTTTCCTTTAGGTTTTTGCCATAGGGTATATGTGCTTGCTGGAGAGAGCCAGTGGGAGAGAAAGTGGGAAATCATCCCCGAGGTGGAATGACTACACTGCAATCCCTTCTCCATTTTCTCCTGGGATTTTGAGCACACATGCACATGTGCCGAGTGTGATTTTCGACCCACCAGGTGTGGGACTCAACCATGGTCGGCCATATTGAATCCAGTGCCTTAACCACTCCGCTACCTGCTGGCCCCCACGTTACTGTTTTTTATTTGAAAAACTGAGCTATGAAATTAAAGGAAAAACTTGCCATGTAGTTTTCAGGAGAAATTTAAAGCATCTTGATAAAATCCAGTGTCATCTTTATAGCATGTAAATACAGCAAATAAAGAAAACATATGTGGAAGTGGTAATTTTATTCTCAGTCCCCCAGCCCAGGACCTAGGATAAAATAGGCTCCATAGAGCTTCACTGAATTGAATTCAGGAGTTTCTGGACTTCAACATACTTCTGACAAAGCCATCTATCGCATCCTGCAAGAACCGTGGGTATTGAGAGGATTAGTGGATTCACAAAGGGCCATGCAACTACAAGTTGCCTGGTATTCAAACAGCCTTGTTCCAGAAAACCCTCCCAGATTTTCTTCAAAAGTAGGAGCACCTCGCCTGTACCCCCAGCACTTTGCTCTTCTATTCGTTGTAGCCCAGGCTCCTGGAGGCAGTAGCTGGTCAGCCCTGTGCAGAGTTGAAGGTCAAGGGTTTGTTAGGCCACATAAGGGAAAGTGCTGTTGGCAGCGCTTATGTCTTATTTACGTGTTTGCAGGTCTACATCCATTTTCCCTGAATAACCCACTCCTTTCTTTGGAAGATGTTTGCATGATTTGTTATGTATTTGGTTGAATTTGCCAAAGGCATGATACAGAAAAAAAAAAAAAACAAAAACCCTGCTGTTTCTGCCATCTAAGACATCCCCAGCATTGATAATAGTAAAAAGAATGAGAAATATGTATTATGTTACTTGCATCTGACTATTCCTGAAAACGTGTCAGTGTTTATAGAGGAAAAGAACATGGAAGGCATTTTTTGACAATTTTCAAGAGCCATTTTAAAACATTTGGTTTTCATCTGTAGTGATGAAATTAGGGGGCCTATGGAGTTCAGGAAGGAGAAACTCAAAATGCTAAACACTCATGTGTGCGTAATGGTTTTTCAGCAGTCACTGTAAATAAGAAGCTTTTCCTTGAACTAACTTATGTTTATTCTGAATATTTTGTGTCTACGTGTTTTCTAGCCATTTTTCAAAAGTTTAGATGATCTCAGAATATTCTTTGACATAAGTATTCTTAATAAATACTGTATGTTATATGAATGCATTTTATATAATTGCTGAAACTTTTCAAATCAGCATATAGTAATATTTAACAATGTATAAATATGTATTTTTTTTTACTTACAATGTTTTTTATTTGTAAAATACATGCATTTTAGGGACCAGCAGTGAGCTTAATGGCTATGTCACTGAACTCCCATGTAGTCAACTGCAGTTTGAGTCCCGGACCCAGTGGCTTAAACTCATGCCAGGCACATGTGCATGCGTGCCCAAGATCCCGAGAGGGGAATGGAGGAGAAGAGATTGTGGCGTGGCCATCACCCTGGGGGGGTGACTTCTCACTTTCTGTCTCTCTCTGTCTTTCTGGCAAGCGCACACGCCCTATAGCAAAAACCTCTCAAAAAAAAAAAAATAATAACATGTATTTTAGCAATTGCTTCACAGAAGCTTAATTTGCTTTCTCTAATGAATAATGGGCAGTGAAAACATGAACCAAGAGGTGTTGTTTTTGCCTCTTTATAGATTCTTAGTGTTTTTAATTAAGCATAACCCATTTCAGAAATCGAGTTGCTGTGCCCATTTTTTTTTAAAAAAAAATGATCAATCTGATGAGCATTTTATATTAGGTCTTTAAAAAGGAAAGTAATACGGCAAGACTTCAGAGGTGCCTGGGAGTGTCTTTATCTTATTAAATGATGTGTTCCCCATTTTTATAGGCATTTTGGATCAGTCTGCTGTGTGGGTTGATGAAATGAATTATTATGATATGCGTACCGACAGGAATAAAGGAATTTCTCCCTTATCATTGCGTCCTGCTAACCCGCTTGGCATTGAGATCGAGAAGTGAGTATCATCTTGCTTTCAGTTTTGTTGTTTTCAGTGGCTGAAAAGCTTTACGCAGGAGTCAAACTCTAGTAGCATGTTGAGAAACACAACCGAAGACCCCTTGTTCTTGGGGAGCACATGTTATTCCTGAAGCCTGGTCAGCTTTGCTGCAGGGGAATGTTCCCGTTACCTAAAACTTTGGCAGAAACTGCTTATTTTTTTCATTTTTTTGAGTTTGAATTATGTGAAAAAGGAAATTCTAGTAACTAATACTTTTAATGAGATGAGCATTAATATGTTATCTGAAGTGGATAATTTTAAATATTTAGATGGTACTTAAAGACAAAATGGAATTTACAATCCATTTGCTTGCATTTTCTAGACGTATTTGAGAATGATTAAGTCCAATCTGGGGTTTCATTTTCTTATAAACTCTGCCTTTAATTCTTATTTAATCCAGACTTTAATCAGCAAAATTGTGCCAGGTAAGTGATACCCTTCAAAATGTCTTGTAACCAAATCTGGAGGTTTGTTTTCTTAATCCTTAGTACAGTGTTTTAGTAATTTTAATAATTAGGGCCTCCATACTTATTTATATCTTGCTTAAACAGTTCATCTAACATACTAATTACATCTAATTTATTTTCTGGTCTTAGCGATTCTGCCTATGGAATTGTCTACTGAGCATTTCTCTATAAACACATACTGAACTTTATTTTAGGTTTTCCTAGGAGTGAGGAAAATTCTCCACGAAGCTTTTTATATTTTCAAGACTATGCTTGAAGACCATTGGTAATTGAAATAGCAAGCTTCTTTTCACCTTCTAGGATTTACCACTGACTAAGAGGGAGGCAGCGTGTTTATCTTAGAAGGTATCGGGTGTGAGGAGGTCTTGGGGGCTTAGCAGCTGTTAGTGAGCTTGGACTGTCCTGGGTAACATCTTTGAAACACTTGGGCAGTATGGGTTCTTTTAAGGATTTTTCAGTGCCCTATAAATGAAGAATTCAGATTGAGTAAGTCCAGAAAAGAATGGTAATAGCTAGATATTTATTTGAGCATAATCCAAAGTGTCAATAGATATTGCATTGAGAGTGGACCCTGCGACAGCCTTCTTCAATACTCTGAACGCCAGCGTCTGTCCACGGCTGACACAGAGGAGGCGTGGAGCAGGACGCCCTTCTGACCGTCTGTCCATTATCACGAGCCAGCTTTGTACACACGCAACAGGAGTTGGGGGATATTTTATACGTTTTGTAGGAGATGTGAACAAAATGATCGTAGCTTGGATTCAAGTGATGTTTCTGTTACAAAATAGATTTCCTCAACTTTTATTTTCACCTATAACACAACCCCTTTGTGTTCTTTCTACTTCGTCAGAGTCTCTAACTCCTTAATTGTCTTTATAATGACCATTATTGCTGGTACCCACAGGAAGGTTTGGCTCAGAATGTCACCAACTGCACTTTTTCTTAGTATGCTTCAGGATAATCCTTTGGTACAGTTGGTAATGACAGCAAGGAATAATCGCACTAAAAGTGATGAGCCTTCTTAAGATACTCTTTTCTTTGAGAAATGGCCCAGTTTGGTCTGGAGCCAAATGCTCAGTTTTAACTGGGCGCTCCCAGTTATAGCACTAGGACTTTGAGTAAGTTATTTCACTTCTCTTTGCCTTGGTTTCCTCGGGTGCAAAGTGGAGTACCTGATTTTTAGGGCCATTGTGAATTTTCTGTGAGTGCTGTCAATGTATAGAACACAGCAAGTACCCGATCAGTGTCAGCCGCTGTCACTGTGACTCTGTGCCCTTCTCGGGTGTATGCTACTAGGTTGTCAGGAAATTCATGATGTGTTTTTCTGTTTTTCTACCCAAAACTGCATCATGACTTTCCCAATAACCCAATACTTACTGCTCTGCCACACAGGGAATTATTTTTTTTCTTTTTTAGTGATTACAAGGTGATATGTTGTATTAAAGTCTTAGGATAGCATTCCACACATTTATTTAAGAAGTACTAAATTGGGGATAAAATTAATAAAGTTTTCTTTCAAGCTGTTACGTAAGTTTTGCTTAAGTATGTGATAGGGTAAAATTCTAGTGGACAGTCTTGGAAAAAGTTAGAATCATGAATCTTATGCATCAATGAACAGATGAACAGGGTGACCCAGATGTTCAAACCAGTTCAATGGAAAGTCCGGAGGAGACACATAACAGGTCATGGGAATGCTCGGAATACAGCTCGCTGCTTTTACGCCTGCTGCGTTGCAGTGGACAGGACTCCTGCGCATCAGCATCAGCCCTCCCCAGCTCCGAGATGTAAAGGAGTTTGCCACAGGGAGGTGCAGATCCCTGGAGCGTCCGAGAACATGGAGGAGCCTGAGCGCGTGGAGAGTTGATCAGTAATTTTTTTTTTTTTTTAATCTAATAGTCTTGTGCTTTTCCTTTCCAAAAAAAAAAAGATAACTTAGAGATACCAGAAAGCAAGGAAACGAAAGATGAAAGTCAGAAGAGGTCTAGAAACCAAAAGAGTAAAAAATATTTGGGACTAGAAAAATGCTTTTCTAGGTTTTTTTTTTTTCTTTTTCTATTTAATTTTTTTTTTTTTTTGGTTCCTTTCAGAGACTGTCAAGAACGCTGTATTTATTTTATTGAATTCTTTGACCTCACATTGGAAAGAGAAAAGGAATGGAAAAACAGATTTTAAAATATTAGTATGGGTTTTATTTCTGTGACCTCTGAATATATTTTCGGTGAAAGCTTTGGTCTTCATGGAGAATGGTGGTTGCATTCAGATGAGAATTATTTCCTTTAATTTTTAGTTGTCCTTAATTTTTTTTTTTGAAAGTTTTTTTTTTTTTTGAGAGATTTTCACTATAGGGCGTGTGCGCTCGCCAGACAGAGACATTAGAGACAGAAAGCGAGAAATCCCCCCCCAGGGGGGATGGTCACGCCGCAATCCCTTCTCCTCCGTTCTCCTCTCGGGATCTTGGGCACGCACGCACACGCGCCCGGCGTGAGTTTTAAGCCACGGGGCCCGGGACGCGAACCACGGTCGACTACGTGGGAGTCCAGCGACATTGCCATTATGCTAACTGCTAGTCCCTAGTTGTCCTTAATTTTGATTTATTAATGTCATTTGGAGATTTCTTTCATAATTAAAAGTCTGAAGTTGATCTGTTTTTTTAAAATGTCATTGGAGGGGGAACCAGCAGTTAGCGTAATGGCTATGTCGCTGGACTCCCACGTAGTCGACCGTGGTTCGCGTCCCGGGCCCCGTGGCTTAAAACTCACGCCGGGCGCGTGTGCGTGCGTGCCCAAGATCCCGAGAGGAGAATGGAGGAGAAGGGATTGCG